TTGCCCGCATTGGGCCTCATCCCTGAGAGTTTTCTTTCTTTCTTCCTTTCTTCCTCTCTCTCTCTCTCTCTCTCTCTCTCTCTCTCTTCTTTTTTCTTTTTTCTTTTGTACCATGGATTGAACTCAGGACCTTGTGCTTGTGAGGTAGGTGGCAGCACCACTGAACTAAATTCCTGGCCCTACCCTGAGACTTTTCTAATGGCTTATGTACAACTCTGTGAGTTCTTGCTGCTGCTCTTGTTTTGCTAAAGTCATTTTGCTGCTGCCCCAGGATAGGGAGCCTCTAAGGAACTTTGCATTCAGGTTCTCTGTGAGCCTGCAGTGGCAGGTTGCAAAAATGGGCATTTTATCATGGCTCTTAAGAATAATTTAAATAGTAAATAAAACAGCCATATCACCAGGGCCCAGGAAATTCCATTACTAATATCTCTTCATTCCGAAAGTATTTACTTCGTCTGCATTTTGTTTTCATTCTCAAGTTTGAGCCTTGACAAACACCCTTTGTGAATTTAATAGTGCACATAAAGTTCTTACTTTGGGGAAGTGTGGTAATAAAATTCTTCATTTAAATGTTTTCTAATAATTACACCATGATACAGGTTTTTCTTTTGCACTCTGCCCTACAGTGTTTCCTCATGCTTCTGGCTATTTTTATTAATTACAGTATATTGCTTATTAAAGTTTTCTTTATATTTTCTAGTATGGATTAGTATTTTTCATTTTATATCAGTGCAAGCTATTGGAGTGAAGTAGATCCAGTTACCTTGGTTGTGTGTGTGTGTGTGTGTGTGTGTGTGTGTTTGAGACAGGGTCTCGCTCTGCAGTTCGGACTGGCCTTGAACTCACTATGTGGCCCAGGCTGGCCTTGAACTTGCAGCAATGCTCCTGCCTCAGCCTCCCAAAAGCTGGGACTACAAGCGTGTGCCGCCACACCCTGATTAGTTACCTTCTTATAAGGATACAAGTGAGGTGATTATGCATTGGGATGTGGGACTCTAATCTCAAACTGGAAATAGCGTTGACATTGTTAAAATGATTATTGGACATCTCTAAAATGCTGACTTCTTCGAGTAATTTTTTTCACCAGTAAACTGAGGAGTTCTCCATATTTGCAAGGTTTCCAGATTTCACTAGTGGCTCTGGTATGATCTCTGGAATGAATAAGAAGAAACTGGATTGGCAAAACTAAATAGGGAGTAGACCGGCTGTTCTGCAGCTCAGCCCTGGACAGGAAGTCTTTTCGATGGATGAAGCTTGCTACCTTCCACCCCTGATGCACATAAACACACAGTTCTGCTGCCCAGCCGTGCTCACCCCCTGCTGCATCGCACCCTGAACTTGAAGCCTTCTCCTCCAGTTTGTGCTTCTGTCTTTGCTTGTTGCCTTTGCCAAGCCTGGAAATCTCTTCTCTCTTTTCAAAGAACAGGCTCAATTTCATCCTGAACCAGAGCCGCTGATTGAATGTCTTTTCAGGCTTAGCTTCTGTTGTAAATTTGGACAGTTAATTATAAGGCATTATAATGCTGTCCCTTTCTTGTGTTTAAATCTTGTTTTCTCAACTAGATTAAAACAGCATGAAATTACATGTATTTTCATGTTTTTCTGTTGTATTACATAGGACTCTTCTTGTGGCTTCCAAAAGACTAGATTTGGATTGAAAGGATTCAGTATACTAAATAAGTCCAGCAAATCCCCTTGCTTTTGAACTTTCATATAAGCTCTTAAGCCCCAGTGGTTTGAGTTTATTCTAATAATATGCCAAGGTGATAATTCAGGGTTTTTTCTTCTTTATTATTTCTTAGAGACTCAGTGGGAACAAAAAAAATAGGAAGAATATGAAACAGCTTCTTTCGTGGAAGAAAATGACATGCACTAAGATTTTGTCATCCCCCCCAACACCCGCCAAATTAACTCAACTAAAGTCCATGACTTTAGTGAACCAACTTTATAAACTGAATGCTTTCAATGAAAACTGATAGTAAGTGACATAAATGTGAAGCAAATTTCAGCATTGGGGCAATTTTCAAAGATCACATTTTAAAGAGCAACTAAATTGCAGTTGCTCTGTGCATACAAATGGGACCGTTTTCGTAGAGCCAATTTAAGCAGCTTCAGTAATCAGAAAGAATTATCTCTCATTCAGTCTTCTGTCTAATTGAACCTTAAAATTTAAAAATTAAGTCAAATACCTAGGTAAAACAGTGCAGAGTGTGGTTCTTTGATTAAAAAATGGGAAAATATGGTACGATGGTTGCCCAGCTTTTGTTTGTGAACAGTTTGGTTTGCAAACACAAGTGTTTTGCAGAAATTTGTTTTTGTTTGCCAGCTCTGTATCAGGTAACGAACACGACTGTGGGCATCTTTCCTGCACGAACACAAACATGACCATGTTTTCCAGAATCAAGTTCAGGAACTGAGATGCCACTGTATTTGAATTTCACTTAAATGTTTAGCATCCCTCTTAACAGAGTCTAAGATGGAAGAAATCCCAGGGACTAATGGGTTAACTGAACATGTATCCCATACCTGTGTTCCTGAAAATAACCTGAAAGAAGCTTACCTCAGTGTTTCTGACATCCAGTCAAGAAATTCAGAACCCTGGCTGGGGATTAAACTCAGTGGCACCACGCCTACCTGGCAAGCACAAGGTCCTGAGTTTGATTCCCAGTACCAAAAAAAGAAAGAAATTCAGAACCCTGAGTCAGCTTTGGAACTGACCTACCTTCTTCTTCTTGTCACCTCCTTTGTGCACTTCACAGCTCCTAAGTTTACAAGTCTCCCCTCTATAAACTACAGAGTCTGAGCCGTAAATTCAAATCCCTGGGAGAAAGAATCTTCTTCCACTTTTGATCAAGTTAGCTAAGGATGGGTTGGGAGTCCCATTGTATAAACCTCTAATCCCTGATAACCTAGTTTAATGAAGTGTAGGTCAAGGAAGTAATGGTAGCATTTTCCATTTTTAAGAGCCCCCCTCATGCCATTCTTATTTCCTAAGGTCAGAGCAGTCTGACCCAAATTAATGTTAATCCAAATTAATGTTAATCGTTTACTTAACATCTTAAAAGCATACCCTGAAAATCAGTAATGAAAATCTTTGTGCTTTCTGAATTCCTTCTCTAAACTGTCCAAGTTAAAATTCAATTAGATTCCTTTAAATAGTGAGATTATTTAGTATGTGAGGCTTGAGACAGCTGCAGTGAAAAGGATTGGAATGGCTAGTGAACACAGCAGAGTGTGTGTGTGTGTGTGTGTGTGTGTGTGTGTGTGTGTGTGTTGGGGTAGGCACAAGAGAAAGTAAAGCTATTATATATTTAGAGGTAAGGAAGTAGAATTAAGTCTTCCCATAGATGTATAAGGGACCTAGCCTCCACATGGACCCTCACATAGACCTCACCCTGACCTTCATCAAAGGACCTTCCGTAGATAAGCCTGGAAAGCTGATGGCACCGGAATATTTGGACCATCTGTTTTGTTTGCTGGGTGACTGGGGCCTGGAGACATTTTTAAATGGCCTTCAGAATAGCAAGGCAATTGAATCATTTGAACCAAGACCAGTTTGATCATTGGAACTTGGCAATTCTAAACAGCCACAATTTCTAGGAATCCTTTAGATTCTATCCAGTCAAGCAGAGAGGAACAAATGATGGCAGTGCGGAAGTTTTAAGACAAATGTGTCATGTATGCAGTCCAAGTTTTTAGTTTTCAGCATCTGGAATGGTGGCATTACAAAGCAAAATTAGCAAGGAGTCTAAATGCTTATGAGTGGTAAAGTTATTGAACTTGAAAAATTCGAACCCTTACTTTTATTTTTTTTATTTATTTATTTTGCTTAAATTCTTTATTTATTTATTTTTTTTCTGGTACTGGGGATTGAATTTGGGTCCTTGCGCTTGTGCAGCAGGTGGTGAAACCACTGAGCTAAATCCTTGGCCCTGCTTAAATTCTTTTATTGGTACATTTTAGGTATACAAGACGTTTACATTTATCACTGGGTGCTTGTACCTGTACATGATGTATCTTGGTTCTTATTTTTTCCCCCATTCCCTGTGCTCCCTTCCCTATTTACAAAGACTTTGTTTCCATTTCTTCCTTTTCTCATAATTTTTCCTTTCCCTTCTTTCCTTTCCCCTTCCCCTCCCACTTCCTTTACCCCTTTGGACCTTTTCTTCCTATTTCAAATTATCAATTATTCATTTTAATCATTTTAATCCTTATTTACACTTTCAGTTTCTCACACTAGAGAAACTATTCGGTATTTACACATGTGTATCCTATTTATTTCACTTAAGAGTGGCCTCAATATGGATCCATCTAGCTATAAAGGTCTAGTTTCTCGTTCTTTATGGCTGAGTAGTGCTCCATTTTATTAAAAAAAAAAAACCCACACATCTTCTTTATCCAGTTTCCAGTTGATGGGCCAAACCCTTTTTTTTCTCTTTCAAAACCCTTACTTTTAACATTTCACTCTTAGAAGGGTCTGAATTAGAATAACAATTGATGCAACAAGTATTTATTGAACACTTATTGTGTTTCTTCTCAGTTGTCAGTGAAAGTCTAGACTTCCTTAAAAAACCAAGAACTCTGACTTGGCAAATATTAGATTTGCTTTTATAAATTATTTGGCTATCTGTAGACTAGAGAAATAATTATCTCTAATAGTTAATCTATCCAAAATTGTATATACTGTTCTTTTAAGACAGTGTCAACTTATCTGGATAACATGGTCTTAATTTTACTATACCTTATATTAATAAAAAAGGAAGCCATGTGTGGTGGCACATGCCTGTAATCCCATCACTCGAGAGGCTGAGGCAGGAGGATTGCTATGAGTTCAAGGCCACCCCGGGCTACATATTGAGTTCAGGGCTAGCCTGAATTACAGAGTGAGACCCTGACTCAAAAAACAAAACAAAACAAAACAAATAATAATAATAAAGGAATCAGCAACAAATAGTTTTAAAACTCGATGTACTACCTAACTCTTCATTGTTGTTTTTAAGGAACGAAGAAAATTTGGTCCCTTGGGATGGAATATTCCCTATGAATTCAATTCTGCTGACTTTTCAACCAGTGTTCAGTTTATTCAGAATCACCTTGACGAATGTGATATTAAAAAAGTGAGTGAGATCATTTCTTTTTCTACTTTTATCTCAGCCTATGACATGGAGTAAACTTCTTCAGGTCTCCCTGACCCCTCTTTCAAAGGCCTTGCTGTTTACCGGTCCAACCTCCCTTCCTGCCTCCTCCCAGCAGCTCACTTGCATACACCGGAAGCTGCGCCTCAGTGATGAAAGTCAGTGTGCGGTAGAATCCCATGGCCACCCTCCTGTCACACCAAATGCCACAGGATGCTGCAAGAAGAGGTGTGCCTTCATCCAACTTGGCTTCTCTGTCCTTACACTTGCCTCCTTAAAAAAGAAGATAGAGCCAGGCATAGTGATGCATTCCTGTAACTCCAGCACTCCGGAGGCTGAGACAGGAGGATGCCTGTGTGAGTTTAAGACCAATCTGGATTACATTGCAAGATCCTGTCTCAACAAAACCCTATAACTTCCCCACCTCAAACAAGACAAAACAAAACAAAAAAAGATGGTATCTGCTAGCCCACAAGGAAGTTCTTTTTCACCTTAAATCGGGTTTCCTCTCTCTCTCTGTCTCTGTCTCTCTGTCTCTGTCTCTGTCTCTGTCTCTCTCTCTCTCTCTGTCTCTCTCTCTCTCTCTCTCTCTGTGTGTGTCTCTGTCTCTGTCTCTGTCTCCCTCTTTTGGTGGTGCTCAAGAATAAATGGCTTTGGTTTTCCTTCTCTCAGTGCTGGGAATTAAACATAGGCACATGCTAGGCAAGTGCTCTACCACTGAGCTATGCTGCAGCCCTTAAATCACTTCTTAACTGTTAAGCTCATCTGTACAAACAGCAGACATTTCTAATAATGGTCACTCATCATCGCACGGGGCTTTCCAGTTTTCAAAGTGTTCCCGTATGCAGATCCTCACTTTTGTCTTCACCACCCGTGAGGTGGGCCAGAAGCATCGCTGTGATGTGCATTTTACTGATGTAAAACAGAGAAGAGAACAGAGAAGAGACAGGGACACTGAGTGTCCTTCTCAATGTCACAGAGCTGAGAATGCAAACCCAGCTGTCTTTCGACTTATGTGTTACACGGGGTTGGAAACTTGGCTTCCCTGTGGGATCGTGACAAGTTAGGGCCGTGACACCATCTGGAAAGTGGGCACGGATTCTGTGGTAAACAAATGAATTCGTATTTGTAAGACACAATGAAGGTGCAAAGAAGGGCCTCCTAATACCACTTTCCTCCCCATCCCTCTCTGTCTCTTCACATTAGGCCTTCAAGATAATTGTAGACCCTGAAGTAACCATTGGTGAGCCATGATGAAGGATTTCTTGGGCAGTAAAAAATTCTAAAACCAAACTATCATTTTTCCTTGAAATGACAGAGGGATATTAAATTAAAGAGTATGGCAGTTGGATGAAAAACTGTATTGTATAGGTTCATATTCTGTGATTATTTATCATGTTGGTATATACAAATCATAGTCACCTTGATATAGTTGCTTTGAAAGCAACCAAGCTGGAAAGCAGCCAGCAACCAAGCTGGAAAATAAAATTTTAACTGAGAAAAAGTAAATAAGAATGGAGCACCCTCACTTCTCCTACCCTAAATGTATTGAGGGTTTTAAAAAACCGTTACCTGTGAAATATATTGCTGTTGTGACTGCTATAGAAATTAATGCGTACTTTTGTGTAGTTTTAGCTCACAGGATGAAATGGCAAAGAATTGCATTGTAGGAAAATCCCGTGAATACCTCTCTTCTTGTTCTCATACTGATTTCAGGAAATACATTGCTAGGAAAGCACATAGAAGCGTTGATTACTTGATTTTCCTCCTTTCTTCACTAAACACCACTTCTCTCTATAATAACTTGGTGCAACTGTAATAACTATTATAGTTGATTACATTTAGAGTGGAAAAAATAGGGTTTTTTCCTCCTATTTTAAATAATCTATGGACAATGTACCCAGTAATGTTCAGCGTTGTAGATTTTCTTCTTTGGTGAACAAACTGTACCAACTCCAGCCCAGCAACAGAATACTTTTAAACACAGTCTAGAGTCTAGATAAAGTCCTGCGATGTTGGTTTGGATGGACACTGACTTATCCTTTTTTATTTTCATAAAGGGTGTGTCGTGGAGTACGGTTCGGTACATGATTGGAGAAGTACAATATGGAGGCCGGGTGACTGATGACTTTGATAAACGTCTGCTCAACTGCTTTGCTAGAGTAAGTCAATTTAAGAAAACGAAAGCACGGAGATGCATTTTTATTGAATTTCCCTTTTCAACAAGAATACTTTCTGTTTGTAATGGGTCTGCCAAACTTGAAGGAGAAAAAGCATAAAACAAAGCTACTAAAAAAGCACGAGTCTGGAGCCCCTTCTCCACCGCCACGCACACCCCAACAATAACAGCAACATCGACCTAGCAGTTTGCTTGGGGTCCTGAGCAGAACAGCGATCAGTCCTCAGGGGTCTGGGAAGCTGCTCCTGGGCCTGCCCAGGTCTCCCTGCTGTCCCCCACCCCACACACTCTCCACCATCATCTCTGTGCCTTTTCCTGAGTGCACAACTCATGGTGACTTCAAGACCCAAAATAAGGGGTGGGGGGATTCATCATCATCTCACTTTTCCCATTTCTTCTGTTAGGATAGACAACTGAAAACTGATGAAGGGTTCATTTTCTCCTGTTTATAACTAGTGAAATCTGCATCTGGGATGCTGGTAAACATTTTCTTGAGAGAAGTAATTCTTAGCAATTATAGCTTTCATTTCAAGGATGAATACTATAAATAACACCTATCAGCTTCAAACTCATCTTAAAGTTTTTTACATGTTAAAGAAACAATAAACAAAGGCTGGGGATGTGGCTTAGTGGTAGAGCTGTCGCTTACCATACACAAGGCCCTGGGTTTGATTACCAGCATTGGGGGGAGAGGGGAAAGCAAAACTAACAAAAACAAAAAAACTCAAAAACAGAAATAAAAACAAAAAAAACAAGAAGTAAGCAACATTATCTAAGTGGAAAAAGAATATGGGAGTATTCTTATGATTGTTGAATTCTTTATATTATGACCTATATTGGTAATTTTCTGTTTCTATACAAATTTTGTTTGTTTGGGTTTTTTTTTTTTTTTTTTTAACAAAACTAAACCTGAACAACCAAGCACAAGATTCTAGGATATTTGGTAAACTGGTAATGGATTGAAAATCTGAAAGTTTTAAAGCCCTTACATATTTTTTGCATAATTTGGGAGGGGAACTGTATGTAGAGAAAGGTGAAAAACAACAAGTGTTCATGAGGCTATGTGGAGGTGGAGCCCTGCTGCTTTGAGATTAAATGGGTACAGACCCCTTGGAAAGCATTCCAGTGATACTTGGTAAAATGGAGTGTCCCAGGTAGGTATAGTCTGGAGCATGTCCCAAAAATTCCACAAATGGGCATGTACAAAAATGTTCATGGAGGCATGGTATAGAGCTGAAGGAAACCATCATAGTTTGGTTTCCCTGGCAGCAGATGCATTTGGGTACCTTTCGCCACTCTGCCCTCACCCACATAATGACCTTGGCCAGGGGAGCTCCCTTTACCCAACACAGTTCCTGGAGAGGGACAATATTGTGAACCCATGGTAGCCAAAACTCTAGACTATAACCAGGGGAGGGAGAGCTTGGGCCTTGAAGGAGGATCAGGGCCACATGACAGTGTCCATTGACAAAGATCCTAACAAGACATAGTAGATGGGCACAATGGAATGCTGTTGCTTGCCCTCTGGGGTGCCATATGCAGCAAGCACCCAGTCATCGCAACTGTGTGATACGACCACTTTCTGGACCAGAATCTGGCCTACTCCTGAGTGTATGACCCAGGGAAATTTGTAGCATTATTTTTAGCATTGTTTGCAGCCTGGGAAGAAGGAAGTTTCTGTGTCAGCATCTATCACAGGGAAAGAAACAAGTTAACTATCGTAGGTGCCTAAGGAGGTACACAAGGCAGCATCACATGGAACAAATCGTCAGTCTGACATCTTGCGTAGAGCTTAAAAACAGGGTTGAATCAGCTGGAAAAAATAAGATGAGATCTATAAAGTAATAAGTGTGTATTTCACAAGGACCTATATTCAAGGCTATATATCAAGCATATTTAAATAGTGCTTGATATATAATGCTTAGTGGAAAGGAGATTGCATGTAGACATCAGAGTTCAATAGGGAAAATCTAAAAGGGGCACTGACTCATGAAAGTAATAAATTAGGGAAAATGAGAAACTCACCTCTGTATTTAAAGTTCAAAGGAAAAATGTCTTAAGTATAGTATACTATGTTAGAATCATTGTAAAATTAAAATTGGAGTTTTGGCAGTAGAGAGTGAGAAATTCTTAGCATCAGGATATCTCTGTTTAACACACAGTAATTGTACATATTAGGGGTACAGTTGATATTTCAATACATGCATGGAGTATGTACTGATGAAACCAGAGTAATTAGCATTTCCATCTCCAGGATGTGTTTAATAGAGAACCAGAAGAATGCTGATGGGACCGGCTGTCTGGGTGAAAGAAAGGGGTGGGCCAAGGATCATTCCCAGTTCTGACCTGTTCAGCAGGAGAGGGAATGGGACAATTTGTAGAGAAGCCCAAGGAATGAAACTTATTGGCTGGGGCTAGAAATAAGGAGTTCCATTTTGATCATGGAATGTTTATGATGTCTCCTAGACATTTGTTATGACCTATATCTAGATGTCCCCCCAAAGCCTTATACACTCATAGGTGAGGCTTTTAGGAGTGACTGGATCATGGGTGTGTGATACTGTATTATTCTGCTGATTGGTTTAGCATAATTCTGGGTATGGGTGTTAGATTTACTGAAGAGAGAAGCCTCAACCCAGTTGTGGGTGACACCGTCCAATAGGCTTGTAGTCTGGGTGGAACAAAAGGGAAAGCAGAAGGAAGGCTACTGCCTCCTGTCTGCCTTGCCATGGACTGTTTCTCCTCTGCCATGTCCTTCTGCCATGTTGCCCTGCCTTGGAGTCCACCCACTATAGACTGAAACCTCTACAAACTGTGAGCCAAAATAAACCTTTCCTCTTGTAACTTGTAGGTGTCAGGTATTTTGTCCCAGCAATGGGAAAGTAACCAAGACAACATCCCCAAAATATAAAATATGTACTTACAAGAATATGTTTAAACAATACTGCAAATATAGAATGATGAATAAAACACAAACACACAACTAAACAAATTCATGACGACTGTTATAGCCAGTGCTGAGCTAGATTGACCATTGTGTGTGCAGATTGTTTTGCACTCCATCTTGTGTCCCCCTCCTGCTCCTGGTGGCAGGAGGGCTGCCATTCCTTATGGTGGGGAAGGACGAGAATGGGTCCATGAACTGATGGCTTTGAGGTGGAGACAGGGTCATTTTCATCCAACTGCATCTATGTTCTGAGTGATAGAAAAGCAAGGTCATCAGCTGAGGGGTGGGGAGAGGAAGTTTGGGATGCTCAAAAGAAAAGCTAAAGTATGAGTAGGAGAGGGAGTATGTGACCTTAATAGATGTCATCTGCCCAACCCATTCTACGTAAGCCCCTTCCTCAGACCCGAGTATTCTGGCTCTCTGTACACCTTCCTCTTGATGATAAGCATCATGGGAGCTCAACACACTGGGAACTTTCTGTGGCCAGGATTACAGTCCTTCAAAGCAGAGTAGATTGGCTTAAATTTCTCATAGCATCCAAGCATCATCATCTCATAGCATCATCTTGTCTGAAAAGTAGGTGTTTTTCTTTTTAACAACACCTACATCTCAGCTTTAAAAGCTTTTTAAGTCTTTTTTCTAAAAGGTCAAGTTCAAGGAAAGTCTTGATTAACCAACTGCCTCTGCAAGTTGGTCTTTGTTCTGTTGAAACTGCCTTACCCAAGGGTGAGTGGGATCTTCGAGTTGGCTGGCAAAATGGGCCCTCTGTGGAAGAGCCCTCTTTGCTCCCCACTTTAGAACCACAATGGCTGTGCAGTACAGTTGAGGACCACTGTGTTACTTTGTCCCTTCAAGGCCACTGGCTGAGCCAGGAAAGCAGGGAGGAAGGGGAAGAGGTGCTGCTCTGCTCTTTCAGCAGCCTGCCCCACTTACTCCAGCTTAAGCCTCGGGTTCCTCTTTCTGACCCAGCCTGCTGCCTGTCCTCTGCCTCTTCTCTGCACCCTGATAGTTGTCATTTGGGCAACAGGGGACAATTCAGTCAGATGTCAGCCTCCTCCTAGAAGCCCAAGATTCTGAATCCTCCAAACCTGGCTGGCCTGGAGGATCGTACACTTGGGCTGTGTCTGGATCACCATCCCTCCTCTAGGCTGTTCCTGAGTATCAACAGCTCCCTCCCCAACGGTCACTTTCCCTCTTAAATCATCTCCTCCTGGCTTCTCTGACCCTGTCCTCAGCAGTCGCTGCCTTAAGTTCATCTTACTGTCATTCTATCCCTTTACTCCTGAGTAGCTTCCCTGGCCTCCTTTACTCCTCCTGTCTCTGAGGACCCACAGTGGCTGCCATTCCTTCATTGTTTGACCATTGGTCACCCATTCCTTTATTGTCCCCCAATCTGCTCTCCACCCTTCCCCATGCAACCTCCTGCCTGTCTTTGGCCTTCCTCGTCCCTCTGTCTAGCTCAGGCTTGCACCAGATGACCCCTCACTAACCAGAAACCACCTTGAACAGGCTGTAGAAAGCACCCCAGAAGAATCCTCATGGTGCCTTTCCCAGCCTTAGCTCCCTTGCAGCCTGGCCCTTACTGTCTGTCACCCTCAAAGACCCTCTTTCTCCGCTCTCTTGGGCACCAGCTGCCCTAGGATGGGGGAAGCACTGTAAATCAGCGCCATCAAGTTGCCTCCTCTGTGCTGCAACTCTGGGGCTTCTCTTTGACCCCGTTTGTCTTCTGCATTCTCTGCACCTTATGGAGCACCTCTTCTAAAGGAAACAATCGTGGAACGTATTCAATGTTCTTCCTCAAGGATGGGTGGGGTGTTTGTCAGCTTTCTCTTATTGTAACAAGTACCTGAGATAATGACCCTGGAAAGAGAGAAGGTTGATCGTGGGAGTTTGGGGGGTTTCCTCAGTTGCCCTCCTTGCTTTTGGGCCTGAGGCTAGGGGAACAGCACCCCATGGTGGGGAGTGCTACTCACCTCATGGCTGGGCACAAAAGAGAGGAAGAAGAAGGAGAGGTTCCACTATCCCCTGTAGGGCCACATCCTCAAGGGCAAAGGAGACACCTCCCCTGAGGCTGTACCTCTTAAAGGTTCCTCTGTCTCTTTGCAGCCGCACAAGTTATATTATTTCAGATCCAGACTATAGCAGCTGCTTATCTCCATAGATATCTGCTGGAGTCTCTCAGAGTAATTCCAGGAGGACTTCATAGACTGTGTTTTGACTCTTCTCCCCAAACAGCCTCCAGATGTGGTAAAACTCAGCTATGTGGGTGTATCGAACCCTGCCATTTGGGTGTGTTTAAGCAGAGCAATGGGAAAAACAGAAAGAAGCTCTGTTTTGCTCTTAGAATTCCTTGTCATCTGCCAACGCGGAATTCAACGTGCTCATTTGTTATCTGTGTGAAGATCTGAAGTCTTCGCTTTCCTAGGGTCTCTTCCTGTAATTTAAGTCAGCCACATCACTAAAAATCTCATATCTCTAAGTAATGACCATGCTCATAGCATTGTTCTCTTTAATAACTGTCAGCTGTCTTAAATTGAGCATGGTCATCATCCTGACCTTCAGTCATCCATAACACGACTCACCTCACCCTTCCTATCCTCTCTTAGCACCGTTTCACCCTAGACAGTGTTACATCTGCCAGCCCACCTCACATTTTTGCATCAGTTATTCTATGCCTTTGCGGCCGTGGGTTCCCCAATGCAAAGTTCTCCTGTCAAAATCCTCTCCTTCAGAGTTTCTCTCTGAAGTCCCCTCCTTGGTAAAGCCCTGCCTGACGTCCATCTGGCCATTTTTTCTTCCTGCTGTAGTCTTGCTTAGAACACGGCTTATTTCCATTTCCTTCTGGCTCTTACCTTAGTACACTTCGTCTTGTGGTTGTTACGTAACTGGCTTAGCTTCTCCTGGGTCACAGGCTCCTCACATGAAAGGACTGTGCGTCTCTCAGCTTTGCATTCTGTTCTGGCGTCGTACCTTGTGCTCAGGAGTTGAATAGAACAGAACTGGAGCAAATAAGGCAACAGAGGGAAGCAGTACACAGGGTATTTCAGAGCAATCACTGGGTTTAAAAAAGCTGAAAGAAAGCTGTCGAGGGGCTGTGTGACTGGCTGCAGCAAGGCACAGTTGACGCCTCCTCCACCTCAATCTGTGAGTGACTCAGACATTGTGCCTCCATTTCCACTCCTGTCTCCCATTATTTCCCTCCCTACTGGGAAAAATCACTCTGTTAGACACTGAAGTCATTGCCTTGTAAGCTTTCAGCATCATTTTCCCCCTATTCACACCAAATATATACCTGTCCTCTTGCCATTTTGTCACAGATAATCAATTCATACTGAGTGAAAAAGGGTTTCTTAAGGCCAGTGCTGAGGTGGTCGGAGGCATTTGCCTCTTGCGGACAGGGACATGACTTCATTAACAAAGGAAGCTGTCGGGCTCGGGGTGGGAGGCGAGATGTTTATAAGGAGCAGGTTTCCTGGCTGTGCGCTGGTGCTTAGTGTCCTGACTAAAGCTGTGCCCATGTGGGTACTGCTTCACCAACCCCAAAATGCGTTCAGGCTCCACAGTTGTCAAACAGCTCCGACAGAGACCAGACTTGCCCCCTGCTCTGAGCAGATCCCTCCTTTGTTGCAAACAGAGCTGTCTCCTCGCCTAATTGTTTTTGCATGGTGGCCTCTCCTTCTTGCATATATGTGCTAATTATTCTATCAGGGGTTCTGTTAAGATGCTTTCCAAACCAGTGCAAAAAAAAAAAGCCCTATTAAGATGGAAATAAAGCGACCCTTCTCCCTCTGTAGCGGCGGTTTGCATTTGGATGCTCATCAGTTTTTCTTTTTATTTTCTCTCTCACATGCAGGTCTGGTTCATTGAGAAGATGTTTGAACCATCATTCTGTTTTTATACTGGATATAAAATCCCCGTGTGCAAAACCCTGGACCAGTACTTTGAGTACATCCAGTCACTGCCATCCCTAGATAACCCCGAAGTCTTTGGCCTTCACCCTAATGCTGATATCACGTAAGTTCTTAATTTGAAGGGGTCATTTGTAACAGCCTGGCAAAGGCTGCGCGTTTCATTTTCTCTCCTAATCTCCCTCCTTTCGCCTTTTTTTATTTTACTGTGAAAAATAGTGTTGCTTCCTGTCTCCCAATTACAACTGTGTCACATCTTGGCCTGCTCCCTTCTCACTAAATCCTGATGCTCCAATGTTTATGACAGCATTAAAGCTGTAATTTATGCATTGATTATTTCTCCTCTGTCATGTCATAAAGCCAGTTGGTGTTATTGGTATTGATGCTCTCCACTGATAGGAAAGTAGTCTCCCAGCTCCTCCTTATCTCTTTCTCCAAAAAGCCATTAAAATATAATGCTCATAAAATAGGATCTAAAAGAGCCAGGAGCACACAGCGAGGTGAAGAACTCTGTTCCCTCCTGACTCACCTGCATCCTCCTGTCATGAACTGCCCACCGTGGGCACATAGCACTGAGCACACACAGGCACACGCTGCAGAGGCAGAGCCCAGGTCTCAGATCAGCGTGAGGTCTTTCTCTGGGAAGGGATAAGAAATGCCACCCAGCCACCCCCCCTTCTCTGGCCCAGCAACCCATTGGATGATGTCTCCCTGCTCCCGTCTTTGGCAATCCCTACCTTAGAGATGGACAGACTGTCTGGCTGCCTGGCTGCCTGGCTGAGCCCCTCCTTTGAAGGGACATTGTCTCTGTGGCCCATTGGTGTGTCCTGTGATGAGCAGGAAGACTCTTGGTGGCAGCTCCAGTTGTTATTGGAGAGGCTGTGTTAAGTTAGTTGGGACTCGGAAAGAAGTGAAGAATTAAAATGAATTCTTTGGGGATAGTTTGAGAATAAACTTATATATTACCTGGAAGAGGGTGCAGAGTGAAGGGCTTGTGCTCAGCTGAGACTTTTAAAATGTGAGTTGAATCACATCTCTCCTCTGCTCAGAGCCGTCCTGAGATCCTGTCTCACTCTGGGTCAAGGTCAAGGTCAAGGTAAACTAAATACATGTAGCCTACAAAGCCATCTGCCCCCCACCCCAGACCTTGGCTTCTGCCTTCTCCTGACTCCTGCCTGCCCAGCCCCAGCTGCCCAGGCTCCCTGTTATTCAGCCAGGCCCCAACCTTCCACCTAAGACGCTTGCACTTCCTGAAATATCCCCCCCTACTTCCGCCAGCTATCATGTGGCTCACCCCTTTACCTCCTCCAGTCTGTGCTTAAATGTCACCTTTCCAGTGACTCCTTCCATAGCTACCCTCCTTATAAACTGCAATCTTGTCCCCAACCTCTGCCCAGATCTCATCCTCATACCCTGCTTTTTTCTACAGTTTGTATCACCAACTGACATGCACTGTATTTTAATTATTTATCTGCTGTTATCTATCAGCCACTACTAAAACTTTAAATTCCATCACACCTGGAACTTCTGTCGATTTTCAGCACAGTATCTCCAGTGCTACAAGTATGCCTGGTGCGCTGGAGATACTTATTGACAGAATTGATGACACTGAATTTTTCTAGATTGTTAAGAATCTGATCATAGCGCTAATCTGTAGAATGGTCTCCTGATGTCATGTGAGTGGGCAGAAAAATAGTGAGCACATCTCCTTGCACTTATAAATTTATAATTGAAAATCTTTACATATTAGGGCCCTGAACTTGTATTCTATCCTTGACAAGAGCCTGAGGAGTCATAATTCCTGATTCCTAGAGAGTCTGATCCTATCAGGCTTGGCAGAGTCTTCTCAAAGAGTATGTAAAACAGAGTTGCAATCCTCTGGCTCTTGGCTTGGAAGGATGGCCTCTTCTGCCTCAATTGCCATAGGAAGTTTTAGTCACTAGCTCTCAAGAAAAATGAACCAGAGCTAGAGAAGTGCAGAGAAATTCAACTACCATATAAGTGAGATTGGAGGCCCCTCAGCTTATTATGAACAATTACAAATCCTGGGAAAGATTCCAGTGCAGTGAGCTTCCGTATACCTTCCACCTCAGCTCTCGTCAGTGGTTAACATTTAATTCCATTTGCTGTTCTCTTTCTATATTTATGTCTCCCACATATTTATATATCTAAAGTTATATCTCATACACAACCACATTTATTTCCTTCTCTCTCCTCTCTTCTTTCTTTCTTATTGTGTGTATGTGTGTGGGTAAGTGTGTGTGTATACGTGCTTTAGGCCCTGATAGTGGACAGACCTAGAAAAGTAAATATTTTGTGAAATGTTGTCAGCTAAAACCAACAATCCCAATTCCAGTTGTATACCTCAAGATTCTTCCTTGTCTTGTCCCATGCATTGTTACCCCTTCTCCTGCTGTGAGGAGAGCTCTGGTTCCCAGAAACTTCGATCTGTTTTCTCATTCATTTAGAATGAATACACTGATACTACTACCAACAGCAGAGCTACTGATTAGAGGTCAATATTTCCTGGCAGTTCTTTTTGCTCTCAGAATATATTCCTCCGGGGATATACAGAGTACTGTGTCCAAAAGTTACTTAGATTGTCTTTATCTGTGTGATTATGTTATCAGTCAATATATAGTTACATTCATTTTTTTGTTTGTATTACATTTTAGATTTTCTCCATCTGTATTTTTGTCTTAAATATGTAAAACATAAGTCAAACCATAAGCCAAAAGTCTCAGCTCCATAGCAAGGTGTTCTTAGAGAAGTCTTAACCCATCCAACTCCCTCCTTCCTTTGTGGGTAAACACATTAGTTTCTGATTTATGTTACCTAGATTGCTTTTTGCAAGCATATAACCTTTATGCACACTAGCCTTATTTTCCTTTCTTTCTTATATGAAGTTGCCAAAGTTTATAAAGTATGTTTTTTTTTCACTTAACAATGTATCCTATATAATCCACCACATAGCAGTTCATAGATTCTTTTTTTTTTTTGGTACCAGGGATCGAACTCGGGTCCTTGTGCTTGCACAGCAGGTGGCGAAACCACTGAGCTAAATCCTCGGCTCCATAGATTCTTTCCTCATTATTTTTTATAGCTCCCTGCTGCCCCATTGTTTATATAGATCGTAGTTGATCCAACCATTCTCCTATGGATGGGAATTTAGATTGGTTCCAGTATTTTGGCAACCCAGATAATCTTGAGGTTAACAACCTTATGTTTGTGGTTTCTACTGTGCCTGGAGATGTATTTTTTAGGTCAATAGCTGCAGGTAGGATTTCTGGATCGAGGTGTGGTGACTGCCACCAGTCCTTTCTATAGGGCTGATCTATTTTGCATTTTCACTCGCTGCCCCTGAACACACCTGGCCCCTCAGAATCTAATCGACAGAGTATTAGTATGGTGTCTGAATTGTCACTGATATGACAATGAGAAATGCTATCTCAGTGTAGTTTTAATTTACTTTTTCTATTTTGAGTTGAATGGAAGAATTTTTCATATACTTAAGGGCTACTTATATGTAGTTTGCCCATTTTTCCCAATGAAGCTTTGTTTTTCTTTTTTTGATCTTTTAGGCTTTTTAAAAATTAAGGATTCTAGCCGTTTATTTGTGATATGCATTGTAAAGACTCAGCTTATGACTTTTTTCATTGGCTAGGTAGAAGTGTTTGTTTTATTTCTATTTTTTGCTCTATATTGTTTTGCTATTGTCTATGTTTTGCCTCTGTTTTTCTGTGATCAAATTTCTGCATTCATTTCTGCATTCTTGTTCCAGTTCAGTTCCTGGTGGTACTGGTTTTTTGATATCTAGGCTTTTAGTAATAGTCAAAAGGCTTTTCCCCTATCAGAGTATAATTTCTTCCACTATTTGTATGATTTCATTTTATATATTTAGTTCTTTTAACCATTTGGAATAAGTATAAGATGTATGAAATGTTATCTTTTCCACATAACATCAGTGACCTGAGGTCTTCCTTTAACGTAGATAGAATCTCTACAGATATGCAGACCATTTCTGGGCTTTCTCTTCTGTAGCACCCTGATTAAAACTTAGAGACTCTGTAGTATGTTTTACTCTCTGGTTGGGCCAGTTTCCCCTCATTGATCTTTTTTGCTTTCTAGGCTTTTCCTAACTATCATTGCATATTTGTTTTTTTATTTTATCACAAATGAGTGTTTCATTTTGTTTGATACCTTTGCAGCATCTATGGTGATAATCATATCCCCAAATGTATAAAAATTTGGTGAATAATATTAATTAATACTACCTGGTTAATATTCTCTTGATGTGATGATGGACTCTATTAACAGTTCCCTAGGGACATTTGCAATGATATTCATAAATGAGATTTTTGTGATATCCTTGTTGGTTTTAATTATCAATCAGTGTTATATTTTATTTATAAAATTTTGGAAGTTTCCTCAGCTCTGAAACAATTTATATAGCATTGGGTCCTTTTAAAGTTGGGTACAATTCTCTAGTGAAACCATCTGGGCCTAGTGCTTTTGAGTGATACTACTTTTTTGATATCTGTCTTTATCTTCTGTTTCCACTGCAGTCAATTTTTAGAGATGGTGTTGTCCATGGAAATTAGGTCTCTTCTGTATTTTCATATTTAATTGCAAAGTTATGAAAATTAGCCTTTAATCTGCTTGAATGAGCTGGCTTCAGTACAGAGTCAGGGAATAAAAATTGCCTTTCCCTTCTACAATCTGATAATGAGTCCCACTCATTCAGTAAACTTGTTATGGAAGTGCGGACATAATGCTAGCTCTGTAGACTTCCATCTAAAATCTGATGACAGCTTGAAACCACTGTCATCTTGCTCCAAAAGGAATGTGCAGGCTCTCAGTGAGATTTACCAGGGCAGCTCTGTTCAATCACTGTGCTGCATTGTGCCAATGCCTCCCAGAAAAATGCTGAGATCTTCCAGACTGCTCCTCTGTACACTGCAGTCAGCTAGACAGTCTCAGTGTGATATCCACTTGGATGTCTTTCAGGCAGCTCAGCCTCACAAAGCTCCAAACTGAGCCCGTGTCCCCTCTGCCTCTTCTCTACCCCAGCAGTTTCCCCAGCACTTAGAATATAATGCAAGCTCT